ATTATACATATATGTATATTATAAAGTTTAAGCGTGTAATAAATAAGGCTCCAGCCCTGCGAAACGGCGCCGTTTTAATAATACTTTAAACCTAATCCAAATTACAATGCTGGTTTATTCTCAGCAAAAATTACGGGGCAATTTTTGTGGGTGCGCTACCTAAGATTCCTGAACTACTAACAGATAAATCGTGTTCTAGTTATTACTCGCAGTGTGTCCGTCAAAAGGAAAATTTTTATGAAGTTCATTCTTTATTAATGACTAATTCTTAAATAATAACCTTATATTTCAACTATTACAATCTTTGCATTACCGTATTACTGTCTTTGGTTTATACTGTATTATCGATTAATACTACACGTATCTATGTATACTAAAACCCGTACTTATTCTATATATGTACTTAACAATCTACACAATAAAAATATCTGATTTATAATAAATCTTAATTATAAATTATAAATTAATTTTAAGTACGTATATAACATGTTTTTTTATAAGTTTACATTTATATATGTTTGCGATTCTTGGCTTAAAACTTTTTGGTATTTTCCGAACTGGGAAACGTCTAAAGTTGTATGCACTTATAATAATTTTATTTTAAATTAAGTTGGGATTAGTTTTAGGTTAAGAGTAGTATTAACCAGTGCCTCGTTATTTTTATTTCGTCGGGCTAATCCGGGTTACTAAAATACTACAATCCAATATAGTTTGATAATTCGATCATAGATTAATTCGCAGGCAAATTTTCCTGTAAATCGGTGTAAGGGATAATAGATTCAAATTACATCCATTTAGATACCACTAATGAGCGCTATCTCTCTTACTATGCAAAATATATTAATTTACTGATTTAATAGCAAGAAATGTATTTAATTTTCTTGCTAGCTTTCCTGGATGGAGCCAGAATTATTTGGCATGACCAATCTGTTGATTATGTGTACTTAAACAAGAGTACATATATCAGTCTTTAAGCGTGTTATGGTCACCAGTTATTACCTTTTTTTGATAACAAAGAAATTTTAAAGATGCAAAGTTCGAAAATTTAAACGAATTATAATGTGTATAAATATATTTTAGCTATCCTACTATTTTCCAGAACTATCCTACAGATTTATTCGATGAATAATATAAACGTTATTGGTACTTTTGTAATATTTGTTTATCGCATCGCCTTTGCATGAATCTTTTCTTGTATGCATATACCAAACAAAATAGCAAATATAATTTAAAATTTTTGTAACACATAATAATTGCATGTATGCCAATGCGTTAATATTAACACCTAAATGTTATTTACTTTAATATTAGTATTCGTAAATGCTATTTAACGGATGAAATGATAATAGAAAAAAGTTAAAATTTTTTATTTTTGCTTTCGACGACCAACTCGACGACTATCTTTTCATATAACGATTTCCTAAAGATCGGTTTCGTTCTTATAGTTTGTAAAGATTATCATTCATTCTTTTTTATGATTTCTTTGTACAGTATTTGCTGTATTAAGAATATCTTTACAAACATCATAAAATTCCCGCATTTATATAATTTCGTTAGTCCAATAAATCTCGAATTAATCCTCAAATTTTGATAACGTTTTACTCAAAACCTATCATCTCAACTAACGAAAATGAATCTACAATTAACAATCACTTCAGTCATTGATTCCATAATTAAATACTCCAAACAACCGTTAGACTGTACCATTCAACGTAGACAAATTAGACTCACCAAGAAATATGATAAAATGGTCGTTTTTGGTGATTCATTTTCCGGTGAATATTCCTATTATTTAAGCTACAGAATAATATTAATAAAAGTTTTTTTTTTTAAAAAAAAAATAATTTTTAAAAAATAAAATTTTTTATTCAAAAGATACAGGAAACGCCTACAGCATAAATTCAAGTCAATTTTCATCAATGAATTTTGAAGGCCATTTCTGTGATGGAAAAGTGTGGACAGAATATCTTGCAGAGTTACTTGACGTCGAGTTAGTCAACTATGCCATTGGCGGAGCTACTTCTGAGTAATTAACGTTTTTTCTAAATATATATATCATGGATTAAAATTAGATTCTAACTTTTCCTTTTTTTTTTTTTTAATGTTAATCTAGCAATAATTTCAGTCAAGCATTCACAGGCCAGCAATCTAACGTCCCAGGACTTAAACAACAAGTTCAAACTTATATTTCGAATAGACCTAGATATGAAAACTGTGATCGAACTCTCTTTGTTGTAAGATTCTTTTTTCTTGAATTCAAAAAATAACTATTTTCTTAATCTAAACGATTTATTTTAAATAAATAGTTATGGACGATGGGACAAGATTATATCGTATCAAACTATACCGCCTCTCCAAAATCAATACTTACCAATATAGCCTCCTGCGTCTCTCTGCTGATCAATCACTTGGGTGCCACTCATATCCTCATTCCTGGAATTCCAGATTTATCGAAATTACCATTACATAAAAATGATTCAGACACACAGATTTCTTTAATAAAGAACGTTTGTAAAAGTCATAATCACGCATTGAAAAATTTCATAGAACTACTTAAAAAGATTTATTATCATATAAACGTACATAGTTATGATACTGCAAATGAATTAGAAATGTTAAAAGAGGAAGCTTTAAATCAAGATTGGGAAAAAGTAGAAGAAAAATTGATAGAATTACCAAAAAAACCGAGTCTTCGCAGGAAATTTGAAATTAAGAATGTTAGGGATGAGTTCATAAACCCTTATGATGGTTCTATAAGTGGTAATTTAGAAGGAGAATACTTTACTCCTGAAAAATATTTTTATTGGGATTTAATACATTGGAGTACTAAAGTTCACGAGGTTGTCGCTGATGATTTATTTGAGATCGTCAAGTGATTGTAAAAAAATTAGTATTATATATAGTCTGGTATTATATTATCGTTTTCGTTATAATTGTATCGGTAATGATAATTTCTATATTGAGTGTTACGTGAGGTTAATTATGTTTAATGACGCGTTCATTTTAATGAACGAATTGGTTGAATTGTAATTATTTTTAACACCAAATTAATTAATTAATTAATTAGTTTTAATAATATAATGACAAATCATTCAAATACTAGTTTACGAAAAAATGAATTTCTTATCTAATTTTTATCTTTAATATTAACGAGTTTACACGGAAAAATTAAAAATTAAACATAGCGTACCAAAAAATCCTGCATGTAACCCGAAAAATCCCGGTTACCATGCTGACTATCATATCGATCAGTCTACCACCTCTATTTGCTTAATTTTCGTGAGGTGCTCAGAAAATGGAAGGAGGGATAACGTTAAATGGAATATCAATTTCAAAACGGCCTAATGATAATTGAACATTTAAATTTAACATAATAATATATTATTGTCCGAACGAAGCGGAATACAGTCAACTATCTATATAACAGGATCCGGGCTGAAAACAATTTCCGTTATATGGTTATAAACAATATACAAATTATTTATATATATTAAAAATTGGGTTCTAAAGGTGTCCGTTATATTGGTAGTTGACTGTAGCTTGTATTATCTGTCACGTGTCACTGTTTCTGTTGTTGTCATCGCATATTCGTGTAACATTATCGCAATTAAATAAACAATGCTTTCACTATATTATATATCTTGTTTCTGAACATTTTTGTTTTCTCAAGCCCTTTCTATCCTTTGCCCGCTTTGAGTGGTCCGTTTAGCCAGTGCTTTGATTCCGCTGAGGCTTTGAGTGGTGCACGTTGGTTACGGTTTGAATCCAGCTTGGCTTTTTTAGGTGTGAAAGGGCTACTACCCGGTTCTTTTGAACTGTAAGTTATTGTACAAAATATTTTTCTTTTTTTAATATTTTTGCTAATTTTATTTTTTATTTTTTTCCTTTAAGCCTTTTCTTTCTTTTCGTGTGCTTGCTTTGAGTGGTCCGTTTAGCCAGTGCTTTGATTCCGCTAAGGCTTTGAGTGGTGCACGTTGGTTACGGTTTGAATCTAGCTTTTTGATACGCGTTGAGTTTGAAAGGTTTCAAAAGAACCTTTTTACTAACTAGGTTCCTTTGAATTGGTAAGTTACTATATGAAAATATTTTAGTTGTTTTTTTATATTATATACGTTTTATTTTTTATTTTTTTGCTAACTTTATTTATTTATTTTTTTAAGCCTTTTCTTTCCTCCCGTGTGCCTGCTTTGAGTGGTCCGTTTAGTCAGTGCTTTTATTCTGATAAGACTTTGAGTGGTGCACTTGGCTACGGGTTGAATTCAGCTGTTTGGTACACGTTGGTTTGAGAGGCTTCAAAGGAACCTTTTTTTTTTTTAGTGCTAGGTTTATGAATTTCTTCTTTTTTTTTTTGCACATATAATAAAGTGGTATCGTATTACTCATTTATGTATTATTCTTGTCATTAAACTTGGTTTAATTTTATAACTAATTAGAACGTTATCTATACGTAGGACCTGGTCAAAGGATATGCCTCTATGTGGCGACCAGGACGAGTAAGCTTAGTAGCTGAAACTAAATATCCTGTATCTTTTGTTTTGTTAAATTTTAGTATATTGTCACTGTATTTTACAAAAAGTTAATTCGAATAATAAAAATAACTTTGGAATATATACAAAATAATTTAATTGTTAATCTTGAATTAGAAACAATTTTATACGTGAAGATAATACTAAATTAGTATGTCAGTTTTGGAAACTTGAAAAAAAATTAGTTATGCGTGCCGTAAAATTTTTCGATTTTTCAAGTTTTTTTATGAAATCATATGTATTTTAATGTTAAATTTGTAAATACTTGTTATTGATTGATACGGGCAGAAGGATAATAAAAATTTCTAAAATATGTATTCTGTATTTTTTTATTAGCCCAAAATATTACTTTATAAAACAATCTCTGCTATATATTATAGATAGACAATGCGATTGTATACACATGATAGCTAACATCTAAACATAGAAGAAATTTATAGTTTAGTGCACTATTAGATCACCCTTAGTCACGGGTAGTGTTTGTATCGATTTCCATAGTTAATTTTTATCGACTTAGCCGACTTAGTCATCCAATTTTCCAAAAATCGACTTAGTCGAGTTATGTTGGATTATATTAAAGTACCAATCGGATTTTACAGTACTGGTCATAGAAAGGTTACCCCCTCTTTAACTTTTTAAATTGTAAAGCTATAAATTTAATTTTTTTATAATTAAATAATATACCTTCTGTATATATTATATATATATTTT